ACCATGGACAGAATGATATGGATATCACTCAATAGAGATTCAGTTCTAAGTGGAATGTTAAACAATGATACTCCAGATGAATCAAGAGTAGAACTAGAAGAGAATTTCTGCTTTATCAGTAGATGTTAGCACCTCATATTAAGTGAAGAGATGAGGGATAGAAGACACTATTATAGAGCAGCCAGTAGTCATGTGAACCAAACTTGTTAGAGACTTAGCCTTTTTGAGGACACGTTACAATTATCAGTCACAGGCGTCTATTATAATCGGGGCTATCACGCTGGTACACTCGAAACAGGTGACTCCTAAGGGCCACAGTGGCTGAACAGGCAGGTGTCAAACAAGGAGAAGATTGTAGTTTCACCTTTTATTTCTACGAAGGTACCATAGCATCGATACCGGCTTTAACCCAAGAAGAAACCTCTGTGACACAATTCCCAATAGAAAGGTTAAGAATATCAATCCAAAGGGCGTCTTGAATAAAGTCACAAAATAAATATCAATCAGTACGCTGGTATCAGAAAGAAGTCTTGTGAATAGGAGGTTTCTTTCTAATAGACAAATCAAAAGAAATATCAACAGATACTAACGCGTGATCAGAATTGCCAAGAAAACAGAGTTGTGATGCTCGACAAGAGCTAGGAGAGGAGGTAAAGAACAAATCAAGTGAAGAAGAATATTGGTCAGAATTATTAGGGAAACAAGTAGGGAAATCCATTGTTTCATCGAGAGACTGAATAACGGAAAAATTGAAAGTTCGAATACCGGCAATATCATTAGCATTAGAATCTTTAAGCCACTTGACATGATGAGCATTCAAATCACCAAACCTCAAAATGTTCGCAGATGAATATAGAATGAGAGCCATTTCTCTCTCTATAGATTGATTTTTTTTTTCGGTTTGGTAACTTTTGCAGGTTATTTAAAGTCGGAAAATAGTTTTAGATTGTAAGAATTTACTGGAGATAATAATTTACTGATACAAGTCCTACTAATTAATCCATAGTTGGGATGAGAACAGGTGGCTTCATACCTTTTCCAAGGATATTTATCATTTATTTAATGGGTATAACAAACCCGACTGGAATGAGAATTCGGCTCTCCGACTTTCACTTCCGAGCCGTTATCAATCCACTACTCACACATCTATAGTTGACATCGCCTGGTATTCCCAAGTGCTCACCCATCTAATTAGTGAACTTCGGTGATCGTAAGAAACCTGGTGCTTCAATGTGATAAGGCCATAGGCGCCTAGGCATATGATAAACATTGCTATAACAGCTTAATACGACGATCATGTAATCTACGCTGTTTAGGTGGCCGATAAAAACTATAAAGTTTTTTTTTATATTCGTCTTGAAGAACACAAAATGGCTGTATTGTTCCTCGGATGTCTTCGGAAATATGTGCTGTCAAATAATAATATAATAAAATTCGGAAGGCTGTTTATAGATATCTATTAAGTTTAACTTTGTCTAGCACTGTCACGCATGTGGAAGATTCGAATTAACATTACAGTACGAATGGTTGAGACGAGCTTGTTAACCTTTCTTTAGTCCACGACAAGATTTCCAATTTACAAGCTTAGCACGGCCTAAGGCCTTAACAATGGTGTACCTGCAAGAATCAAATTCACTATTTTAATGCTCTTACACTTTAAACTATGTTATCGTATAACAAAATTAGTATATATATATATATATATATATATATATATATATATAGAGAGAGAGAGAGAGAGAGAGAGAGGACCGTTGGGTGGTGATGAGTATGTAAAACAGACGTGGGTTAAAATTTCCTGCTAGCCGATCCAACTACATGAGAAAGTTGGACTTTAATTAAGTCAAAAGAAGAAAAGGAAAAACAAACACAAGACCGATAAATATATGTAAACAAATATATGTATTAATAACAAGAAAGGTTACAAGTTACATGGATAGAGTGTCTGTGGTGAATATTATGTGTGTGTGTTGTGGTGAGTGTTCGTACGTACGTATATTGTTCTTAGCGTGTTCCCAGAATTTGGGAAACGCTGTATCTGTGAGAGCTCACATCTGCGAGGTGGTATAAGGCCGAAGGCCTGAGGGAAAAAGAGATTTACCTCAAGGTGGCGGCCCAAAGGCCTGAAGGAAAAAAAGAGGTCGAGGCGAAGGGTCAGCGAGTATTTATAGCCAGGGAAGAGAGACCCCTGTTGAAGGATTAAGGAACTAAAGGAGGAGGTAACTCAGACATATATCTATCTATCTATCTATATATATATGTGTGTGTGTGTGTGTGTGTGTGTGTGTGTGTGTGTTAATTGGAACAGTCAAATGAAAATTTTAAATGCTTTCTTTCAAATTAATTTTCAGTTTTCTGTGTGAAAGATAATAGTCTAACTAAAGCAAGAAACATCTATTTCCGTATATAAATAAACTTTTAAGACATTTTTAAAGCATTAGTACTTTCTTTCGTTACTCGTCGACTCACCGCGCCACCATTATATAAGAAAAATTAAAACAACAAATTTAAAATTCTGTTATGAATTTTGAACGCAATTCAAAATACCAGGAAGACGAAGCGGCAAGCACTTTAAGGCTTTATTTGAAAGAGAGGGAAAAAACGCAGCTGAACGTCGCTATCGGTGTCTATCCACATAATGCCGTACTAACCAGGATACAGCACAATTTATAAAGGAAAAAAATGTATGTTCATTTACATACAAGAAATTTACACACAAAAAAACATTAGTTTACAAACAGAAGAATTTGAATAACAGAAAAGAATAATGTTCATTTACATAGCACACTTCAAAATCAAATATTTGAATATTTGTTTTCGGAGTCTGTTACTAAATTTAAGGATTAATTAACTAGATTTTCTAAAAGTAATGCTTAACATTTATTTTAAAAACGAATAAACGTTTTTTAAATAATGTTTTATTTATGCACGTTAGTCCGTGAGGTCAAAAGACAAAGCAGAAATATTGTCATTCTCCCACTGCCCGAAAAAGCGCGGGAAAAAGAAAAAAATAGAACCTAAAGAAGTACGGAAGACGAGCAGTGTAATAATCAATAATTTGTCATTTTTTTTAATTAAATTTTCTTTAACCTTATACAACCAATAGTTTAAGAATATAATTTTATTAAACTTAGTATAATGACTAATTTTATTTTTTATACTGATTGAACTATTAGATTATTGTCATTATACTCCACCGATATTAAATAGTAGTCAGTCAACGCGAGATATCAGAATTATTTCCATTTTATATATCCTTAAAAAAATAATCTAGCAGTTGCTAAAAGGAATAAAATAAAATAAAATTCTTTTAAAAAATGTTTACACTTGAAAATGACATTAAAGTTTACCTTTTATAAATGTTCAAACATGTTTTTAATAAAATAAACTCTTGTGACGAACAGCAACGGGATTAATTTCAAAATTACACTGAAAAATTACACGTAATTTTAAAAAAAAAATATCAAGTTTAGAAATTTTTTTCTGTCGAATCTGAAAAGAATAAAATGTGTTTTATTAAATTATGTAAGCATCAATTCTCAAAAAATAATTTTTTGACTTTTATTGAATTGTTTTTGGCAAAATACGTACTGGATTTTCTGTATGTTTACAGTCGATATTGCATAAAATTTTTACTGAAATAATATCTTATGGGATTTCTTTTTATATAATTGTAAAAGATTTGGACGACTCCCACCAGAAATTAAAAAGTAAATACGTGATATCAAAAAGGGGTTGTGAAACATGCCCCCTAAAATACTTCCTCATAGTTTTCTTCTTTTTTTTTTTTAATAAAATAACCTATTTTGTAAAATATTAATTCATTATTGAATGAGTCGTGAAAATTTCGTTTGCATCGGATAATTCCCGGATTTTTGGCAAATATTTTAAACAGGGAGTATCGATACTTGTACTTTCATTGCGGAAAAGAAGAATCCACTTTTTTTTTTACTGAGAAATAAAAAATGTATAATTTTAGTGATCTATGCAATTGAATAGATATTTCACTTTTCAGTTACTGAAATAATATTCTGTGTTGTCTGTTGGGAAGTCCCAATTTTAATCTTTTCTTACATTCCGCGGCTTTGTACACATATAATTATGCAACTTTTTCTTTTTTTTTTTTTTAATTTCACCAAATAATGAGCAAACTGATAATTATTCTACACTTTTTTATTATTTGTGTTTATTGACGACAATTTTTGAAAGTAAAAACTGAAAGATTTAGTAAACGACAGGAAAAAGTAGTTTATCGTTAGCTATGCCGGGCACAATATCATAAATGTTGGGCGCCCAGTGTGGATAAAATTTCTAAACAATAGCATGTGTGTTACTACCAGGAATTACCAGTATTAGTCGATCAGAAAATCATGTTGTTATTTATCAATATTTCTGGAAATAATTTAATAATTTTTTAAGTCATTGATGAGCTTAAGATTTTAGGGGTATTCTTTCTTTCTTTAGCTTTTCTTTATTAATGAATGACCGTGTGAACCAATATCCTAAGCCCAAATATTCCATTATTACGTCCTTTTTAAAAAGTCACCGTTTTTAAGAAAACCAGCGAAGTCTTCTTTCTTTTTCTTTTTGTCGAAGGGTCGTTTTATTTTAAAGTCTTTCTATTTTTGTTTTATTTTTGATATTTTTATTATTATATTATTTTCAAAACTTTCTTTCTTTACTTTATCAAAATTAAAATATTTTTTTCTGTAACCGATAGCTTTTTAGTTCATACAAACCTATCTTGACATTTTTTTCTCATTTTCTTCCTGCGTTCTTTCATTTTTCTTACTTGATCTTTATTTCTTCTAAATTATCTCTTGCTTTCGGAAAAAGTAAGAAGCTTTATTTTCTTGCATATTCCTTCGCGGCCTTGTGGTAAACATTAGTAAACTTGTCCTGCATACCATACTGCTTAATAAGTTGAATCTTCCTCGGTTTGCCTCACACTCGTGACCTTGTGTCAAACCAAGATAAATTTATCTGGATAAATAACGCATATGCTTTCGCTACCGCCTCACTACTCTTTCAATCCTATATCCCTCCGCTTCTTTAAAGTTACATTGCTTTTACTTTCTATTCTCTGTACTTATTATTTTCTTCTGTCATTTAATTTTCTCGATAAATATTTGAAAAACCGTTCCCTGCCTACCTTCTTTCTCTGAAACTGTTGCTATGTCAAAGATGCCTAATTTATAAGGCTTGTTTTGATGCATTGATTAATAAAACAAGGAAAATTAATAATTTCAAACTACAGCAGCGAACCCCTTTTCTTTATTAATAGGCAGTCTAACTAATTCTAATATTTGGAAAATTCACTAAATTTGAAGTGATATAGAATAAAACATAAAATTCTTCGTGTGCAATGTTAACCACGCCTACTTCGGCTTTCCATGTGGCAAATGATTTGTTTTATTATTATTTTATTTTACCTAATTAATTACACTTTAAAAACAATAATTATGTACTTGTGAGTAAGAGATGTAGAAAGACTAAGAAGAGAGAGAGGGGGGGGGGAACGGGAAAGAGACGAGTTGGAAAGAAAGAGATAGACCTACACAAACTGAGAAACAAATAAAAATAAAAATAAATAAGCGGCGATTCTCCCCTTCGTAGAAAATTAGAGAACAGAGAACTAGGTTTAGAAGTTAGAGGAGAAAAAAATAAGGAGTGGGCGGGGAGCTAAAATAAAGAGATTGTGTTAAGATAAGAAAAGAAAAAGTAGAAAAGGAATAAGAAGAAGAAGAAAAAAAGAGAGAAGCGGATAGCATTTTTAAGACGCACGCGCGGCTTTGACCGTCTCACTAGTCATTCATTACATGTCGACGTGATGCAACGTATTTATAACCTAGACTTTTCCTTCGCTGTTGTTCTGAGCCTCGCTCTTCGGTTGCAGCTTGGATATGCCTTTATAATTCAGACTCTCGAAGTACACGTTTCTCATTATTGCACATACCCGCCTTTTTCTTAATACACAACTAGTCAACTTCTATCTCTCTTTATTTTCTTTCTTTCTCTTCAACAAATACGCGTTCGCTTCATACGTTTTTTGCTGTTTCTTTTTCTATCGCCACATTTTCCCGCTTCTTTTTATACATTATTTCCCATTTTATTCTTTTTGTATGACGTTAAAGTGCATTTTTTGTTATTCTTTCCTTAACCTTGATCTTTCTTACCTAGTCTCATATTTTTAAGAGTTTCTTTATTTTTTGCATTGCAATTTTTATACAGTTAATTTTTTTTATGTTAATATCCATACTCCAAATTTACTTTTTCCTAAGTTCTTTTCCCCCTATCTCTCTGCGTTTTTCTTTTCTGATTATTTTTTTTTTTTGGTTTTTAGTTTTTTTTTTTTTTTTTTTTTTAATTCAACTTTTTAGATTCTATTTTTTGTCTTCTTTCTCCCCGCCCTCTTTCTATGCATTTCATTCTCTTCTCTTTCTGGATATTTGTATCTTTCTTGATTCACTTGTCTTTCCTCCACTTCTTCATTGTCACTTGTTTAAAAACCGTTTTCCTTTCTCTTTTTTTCCGTGAAAGCATAAAAAAACGTTCCAATCCCTTCCTCCGTCTATAAACATTTAGTAACCTTCCCAGTAAAATAGTTAAGTTGTCATGGTGACGCCAACGGACTTGGTAGTAACTCAAATCTTCGAACAAGTGGTCTACATAGAGATCTTTTAACCTCATGTTTATTGAATCTACTAATGATATCATGTTCTTGCAAAAACGAAAGTGCCATAGCTATATTTAATCCCACTCTCTCGTCTGTCCTTCACCTAACTTTTTATTTCTTCCCTTAATTGTCTTCCTCCTCTTTCCTATCTATTTCCAATCTCTCTTAGAAGAATCCCACTCTCTTTTAAAAATCTCCTCTTCCTATTTCACATTTCTGTTCCATTCGCAATTTCTCCACCTTCCATTCTTTTACATTACTCCCACCTTCTCTCATTATATCTCCTCTTCCCACTACTAGCGGGTATGGCTCAATATTATAAGCAGAAGTTTCATTTCTAGAGTTGCAAAATGTTTACTGTTTGCTGAAAATGGCAGAAAATTATTCTAAATCTGCCCCCAAACTTTTCAAGATGTTCAACATATAATTGAAAATCTAAATCTAAAAATTGATATATTGTAAGTTGGTGTTACCAGTAAAAGGACAATATTTTAAATGTTTAGGATATAGCAAATGTATGGTTGACAAGCTGTTTCTGTTAAAAAGGGATCATATATACAATCCAAGAAAATATCTGCCAGTCATACTATTTGTTAAATTTTGTAAATAATCCCAGTTGTTACGTAACCATATTGTGTAGGTAGATTTGTCTTTATTAAACTTATTAAAACATTTTGGGGTTTAAAAATATGTGGAAGTGCTTACCGAAGATCGCATAAAAATCATGAAAAAAATTTTAAGAAAATTAAAACAAAATTTATTCATAAAAAATCAATCAAATAAGATTAAAGCCAAAGTAACTCTCCCCCCTCCCTCTCTCTCTCTCTCATTTTAAGAATTAAACTCTTTACTGAACGAATTATCTGATGCAGAGTGATAATACCGGTTCTCTGGAAATGTGGAACGTAGTTTCTTGTTAATTTCTTTTTTTCACGTTGCGTTTATTTTAACTATACTAAGTTCGACATAAGGCGATTATTTTAAAAATGTAAATTTTCAAAGCTGCACGTATATCCTTGTAAATTTTTATGAGTGACGATTTAATACATACTTTTAAAAAGTAATTTACATTTTAGTATCAGATGTAATAGTGTTCGAATTTCTGAGATAAATAATTATAATTATTATTCATCTGTAGTGAGACCCGATAAAAATAAATATATATGAACAAAAAAATAAAAGGATTCAAAATAAAATAAGACATTTGCGCTTTCCTTTAAAACTCTTCTCTCGTTCTCTCTCCCTCTCTCTTTCTGAACTTCTCTCAACTAACGAGAAGGCAATCGTCAAGTAAAAAGAGGAAGAAGAAGAATAAACTGAATGTGGCCGAAAGTTTACAGGAACAGAGCCTACTTACTTGTGACTGAAAATGTCAAAAAAAGTTAGGGAGGCTGCAAGCATAACTTCCATTATTTAAAAAAAGAAAAAAGGAATGTCGGAAAATAAAATAATTTTGGCGAATCCAAAAAATTGACACACAATTTTGATCTTAGTCGAAACCAATGTTCGCGCCAGAGTCTAGGAACCCGGTAAAAATGGATAAAAGCTAGCACCTCTGAGCTAGACGCAGAAAGAGGACGGAATAAAAGAATGCTACCACCGAGAAACCAGCCATGTGTGACGAGTGAATAAGTAATTAAGATATCATATGCCAATGATGTATCTGCTCTGCTTAGGACCGAGAAAAGCACACTAGATTGACATTGACCTCTTTCTAACATTACTATTAACCCTATAATGGCCTGACTTGAAAATCTACTACCTCCGGACTTTCTCCAATCATACTAACAATATCCGCCACTTAAACGAACATTTTTGTGACACCGAGTATCAAAGGACTCACTCATCACTCTAAAGCAAATAAATAAAAATATATATTATATTTGCACATACCCATAGCAAGAGCTCCACTTCATTTTATGTCCTGTTTTCGATAGATCCCCACCAAGGATATTTACCACACTATCCACACTGGTGACCCCGACATGATATGAACACACATATTAATAGGTCTTTCAATTCGAACTAGTATACTAATCTTTGCTGGTATACTCACAATACTTTGGCCATTGTATCTTTTAACCTTCTTTAGGTGTCTCTGGTCTTACTCGGTTATAGTCTTGGAATTTCAGCCGAAATTTTTATTCAATCCACAGGGTGGGGTAGATTTTTCTCATCACGTTTTCCATGTTATGGGGAGATAACTTGTGATCAATTAGTGCCCCCGAGTCAGTATAACAATTAAGATGAGTATACTGGTTGCTCGTTTCCGAGTATGCTCGTCTGCCGCGATAGCAGTTGCAGACGCCTGTTTGTTAAACACCCACAGAGCCAACCAGTGGCTTATACTACAACTATGCTGAGCGAACCTTAGTTACTGTTTCTGGGAGAGGATTTATCATAATTTGGTGTGATCAGTAGTTGAAAGAGGCGAATATAATCAAACAGTCGGTCGCGATGATTTGTGACTTCGTGCTAACACAATCATCAACGAAACAGTTTCGTCTACCCAAGTTTACTCTCAGGACTTTGGTCAGCCCGTAGTATGGTTTTCAGGCACTTCCCATTTGTGCTGCACGCTATCATCGTTTCCTGCTTGAAAACTCGAGCATAGTGAGAATCGAATTTGGGTCCCATGGATGGAACGCTAACATTGTAGCCACTCGGCGACGCATACTAATCCAGAGGTAAAAGCACATAATAATAGCAATTCATCAATATTTCAATATAAAACGTTGCATGTTATTAATTTTTATGAGTACTTCTTTTATCTTTATTTGTGTTTCTCTTATAAACAAACAAAAGAATAGAGTGGGGATTTGTAGAAGAAAAGAATACGGGTATATAGGCAAATTTAAACGATTGCTGTCGGTTAGTCTCCGTAGTTGAATCGGTAAGGCAGATTTTCAAAGATAAGAGATGCGAGTTCAAATCTCACTGCAGCTTTATTCTTTATTTTCAATCTGCGCTGTTTATTTATATTATATTATATTATATTATATATATATATATATATATATTTATTTATTTTTATATATATTTATATTATATTTTTATATAATATTATTTTACGGTCGTAGGGTTACGATCTGAGAGTTGTAATATAAGGCAACATAAATTAAAAAGGAAAGAAATACCACTCAAAAATTAATTTTAAATACATTTTATTAGAACTTAAATGGTGATTGAACACTTTAGTTTAGGGCTAGAAGAGTGACAATTTTTTATTAAGCTCCACTCCAAAATATACACATAGGTAGTTATTTGGTAAGTTTACTCTGGCACATGACGACAGTAGTAGAGAACCCTTGATAGTCAAACTCATTAGACTAGCGAATTGGTCTGCTAGACTAGCTTGTTAAGCATAATAGTCGCCTTCACACGGAAGCATCAAAATATATAGTTCTTTCTAGTTCAGTAAAATATATTTGAAATGACAAATTAAAGTACCGATTTAAAGATTTGAAAATATTCATTTCGTAAAACCCCAACAAAATATTTATTTTTAATACGAAGAGACAAATAAAATCAAATCTATAAATTCGATCTATATTGACGCATCAAAGCGACGTCAAAAGTACACCTACAATTACCATTCTATAGGTAATGGTATGTGGGCACCTCGACGTGGTGTAATGGTTAGGAAGCTTGTCTTACCAGATCAATTACAACTGAGTAGTGAGTTCGATACTCGCTGGGTGCTCCATACTTTAGGCCTTGTGCCACATCTAAGCCAGGCTTAGAAAATCACTATAGGTAATGGTATGTAGAATCGTGAAATCACTAATTGGACCTTGGAGGAATGCGAACATGTAGCGTAGTCCAATGAGTCGCGGTTCATGTTGTTTCTGTCTAATGGACTCTAGCTATCAACAATGGTGGTTTTCTACAATGGTGTTGGATGTGTTCACATGGCATTGGTTGAGTCCGTTTGACAGCCTAAACACGTCATTGACTGGCGTTCGTTGTGTTGCATTGCTTTATGATCATTCATGGACTCAATGTATCTCGACAAAGATTGATTTAATCCAACAGGATAATACACTGTGTCATCGTACACATGCTGTCCAGAATTAGTTTGAAGAGCCTTCTGGAAACTTCCGATGAATGATATAGCCACCACCTTAGCCCTGCACGAGCCAAATCGAACATTTATGTGGGATGGTGAAGATGTTTATTCAATATTCTTTACTTACAAATATGCTCTGGACAGCTATCAAGAAGGCGAGGCTCAACATCTCTGCAGGGGTATTCTTGTTAAATAATTGTTTAGCAGATTGTTATTTTTAGAGGAAGTGTATTTCGGCTCTGACTCTTGGAGTTTGGCAGTTGGGGTGAGATATGAAACAAAATAGGTAAGTCAATTTTGATTGGTTGAAGATGCGTGGGAAGGTGATAATAGAAAGGTTTTAGTGAGTTGTTTCTTGACCGTCAAGCAATGTAAACGTGTTCTCTTTCGTGTCTGAAACGGTTCCCCAGTGAGGGGAGACTTCCACTGGATGATCGACATTAATAAAAATAGATAAGTTAAAATTCTCTGTTGAAGTCTTTCATTGCCGAACTGAAATGATTGTCGATTACAGTCCAAGAGAAAAAGCCGAGCTTAGAACATTCACTGCTGTCAATATGCAACATTCTGACTATTTGTTCGAGTTGATATCATGTCTAACACTGATATATTTTATTACTGCGGGAAATGTCAAACTACAGAGGGCATACTACTAAGGACCAACTTATTACAATCTTCATAATAAATGGGTCCAAAGTTATAAAAAGACAAAAGAAAGATCACTTTAATTTGATTGCCTCTGGTTGATTTTCTATTTGTTAATCAAAACTTAATAGATAGTAACTGACGTTCCTAAATGATTAATCTTGTTAATAATTGGTAATTAATGTAA